GGTCATGGTGATGATCATGATGAAGAACCAACCATAATGATGTGCATGTGGGAGTGAGTGTGGAGAGGAGAAGGTGTAGAGATTAACCAGTTTTGGTATGTCCTTTTACATTTATCGGTGAGCATAGTAGATCATAAAATAGATTGCATATCAGCTTTAGTTTTTATTTATTATGTTGTTTTACTTCCTAATATCAATGAATAAACTTCTATTCAGTTGCCATAGGATGATTTACATGTTTCCATAGTTGCTTAAATGTCTCTGACCATTCCTCTATGTTCTATGAGTTAGCTGCAGAAATTCTCATTATAGTGACATCGGGTTGAGGCAATAGCTACGAGAATTGTATGGTTAGGGCCATTCATAACTAAAGCCAAAATGTTTTATTTTAGTTGTACTTAGTTTCTATTTGTATTGTCAGGGCTAGGGCTCAGACCCTTCAAACCCATTGTACAGGCCGGGTCACCAGACCCCTCACACACAGGTCTATGCTAGGAAACTGGGTTGTATTGTCAGGGCTAGGGCTCAGACCCTTCAAACCCATTGTACAGGCTGGGTCACCAGACCCCTCACACACAGGTCTATGCTAGGAAACTGGGAAAGATCCCGGGAGCCATTGGCAGGTGACACGAGCTCAGTCCTCAGCAGTAGCAGCAGCAGCTTGCAGAGCAGCAGCAGTGGTGGGGTCTTGGTGCATCCCAGGGGCACTGGCAGCAACTGCTTGCAACAACAGCCTCCAGCAGCAGTAACGGCCTCCCCGTGGCCCCCCCAGGGGCAGGGAGCCCTGTGGATCAGAGCCACTCGTCCTTTATACTTAAGTCCATAAGTATGGACACCTGGGTGCACATGCACAATTACATTAGACAATAACCAGGGAACATCTGGGTGCACGTGCATATTTACATTAAATACTCGGCCAGATTCTGAACACCTGAGGAGCCCTGACCATTTTTCTATATTTTCTCAACATAGTACCAACCTCCTTTTGCTCTCTCACATCAGTTTAATCAGAGTTGACAAACGTAAGATTTATACACATAAGGGTGTATGCATTGTAAATGTGTAGATCAGTGAATTATCTAGAACTGAACCCACCTATGCAGTGCCAGGTGTTGTCTCACCCATGCTCAACCTTGGTAAGATGATAGTGGTTTTAGCCTTTGAGGGGACTGTGAGAGCGGCTGAGACTCTCCGCTGACTGATGGCAGGTGGAACATGGCAGATAGTTAAGCAAGGGTATAGTGAACTATCTGAGGCCAGAAGAAGATTGTCTGACTTTTTAAAAGAAAAATGAAAAACAGATTGAGCATCTGTGTTCCTTTGCTGCTTTCTATAATCTACACAGTGTCAAGGAAATTGAATTCCTGAAGAAGGCTCTGATATCTTCTTGCTGTTGCTTCCTTTTCCCATATTTAATTGAGGGAGTTTTGGTGTCACTTTAATTTCCTTCCTCTCTTTGAAGAAAAACTTTTTGAATTATTAATGTTTAGTGGCCCTAGTCTTAAGTTATAGTAAAAGTTAAGGAAAGTTTTGGGAAATAATGATGTGACCTGAGAAAAGAATATACTAGAAAAGAGTATGTCTAAGGTATGTAAAGGCTACTAACACAGAAGAAACTGGTTGGAAGTCAGGTCATTGGTTACCTTTAGGGGAAAAGGTGGGTAGAGAGTAGGAAGAGGCATTGTGAAGGCACTTAGTGCACTGGTGACACTCAGGTTTTTCAGCTCAGTGTTGAGACACAGGTGTGTTTATTTTATGTGAATTCACTGATTTATACACTTATGATTTATGTACTTTAATGTGCATAAATTTAAAGTTTTTCACTTGAGTAAAACATTTGTAAAATTTCTAATTCAGTGTAGTATGGTATATAATGTTAATTGTTTCAGAGTTATAATATGGTCTGTGATGATATTGTTAAAAATTGAACGGGATGACAAATTTTTTTATAATCATAGAGTTTTGGTAAAATTTGGTTAAAATTGGTAAAACTAATTCATTGGTTTAAAAAAAAAAATCTGTGAGACCTGGAAGATGAATCTGTGATTATCTCTAGAATAAAATAGAAATAATAAGAAAAGAGTTAGTTGCTTAGAATTTTAATCAGGAATTGTGTCTATGTGGGTATTTTGAAAATTTAGGGATTCTTTACATGGTGTGTAGGGCTAAAAAGTAAGGTCATTTGCTAGTGTGTGGTAGAACTAAAATGTGTTGATAATATAGCACTTACTTGTCTTAATTCTTTCTCCCTACACTTGTAGCAGTTTTTCAAGTAACTTCTTTATCTGATATGATTACTTGAAAGAAATTTTAAAGCCTTATATTTCATTCTTACCATGAATCATAACTAGATGAATAAAATATTCCATGTTCTGCATAACATTCTGTGAATTATTATGCAGAATGTGGATTGAACTTTGTAAATTATCCTTTTATTATATTTTTATTTAAAGAATTTTCACCTATGTGTTTTTTACTCAAAACATATGTGTTTTTCCAGAGGAAAGAACAACTAATTCTAAACTTATTGTAAGTATATTTTTAAATTGTGGCATGTGACTTGAAAAAAAAATTAGCTAGTTATACCTTTAAAATCAGTTATTAAATTGATACCAGTAATTTAGACAACTGTGTTTAATTTGATGATGTTCAAAGTACCATGTGATAAAAATATTTACTTTTTGTGCCTAAATTCTCTTTAAGTTTCTGAACAATTATATTGAAATTATTTATGCTGTGATTAACTGTTGTGATTGACCATCTCTTAAATCATCTTTGACAGTAGATATAGAATTAATCTATTCTTAAGATAATAATACATAGTAAAACTGAAAGGTTGTGAAATTGTATAATCTAAGAATATACATCCAGGCATATGTTTATAAGAATCTTGCACCGTCTTCAACTCTCTCACCCCCACCCAACCTAATCCTTTGTTTTGTATAGAAGCATAAAGCCAGTTTGGAGAGATTATACAGATTCTCTGACCATCCACACCATCCATATTTAGCTGGAGGATCAGTATATGCTGGTGGCTGAAAACAAACAACACTTTCCCTGTTCTTAACACCTCTTCTCCATCTGTCCCTCACCTGGTAAAGGTCACATTGGGGGAGGGGGTGGAAAGAGCTATCAATTCATATACAGTTTCAGCCACCTTCAAGCCCTTTGAAGCAAGTTAGGGGTAAAAGAAAATGTACAAACCGTGGTTGTGGTAAATACTAGTACTGAGAGGACTGACAATTTTTCTCAGTTATGTTGCTGAGTAGGAATGACGCAATTGATACCAGAGTGGTGGTTTGAAAGTCAGGGTGTTCGTTTGCCTCTGACCTCAGCAGGATTCAAATTGATTAGACATCACAAAGTACAGGTGACGGTAATATTTTCCTTTTTTTTTTTTTTCTTCAGTTTGGTGAGCAGTCACGAGCCTCTTCTGCATTTGCAGCCATTTACTCTAAAGGAGGTATTCCTTGCAGGTAAAATCAATACGGTTTATAACTGACGATATTATTCAAAATAGTTGAGTAAAATCAATACAATATTCAGTTTGAATGTATTGAAAGTTTTATTTACTAGTGAGGTTGAAGTATAGGTGACTTATTCACAGTGGCTATTGGATTGGTATAGATCCCTGGACATTGTCAAAGAAAACCATTTTAATTTCAAAATATATTTACTGAGACCATGGTAAACCACCAAATAATTTAAGAAATTGAATGAAACACTTTTTAAAATAATCAATTTAAGCATTCACAGTCTGGGGCAAGTTGTAAATAAAAAATCCCATCTCGTTGGTAAAGGGAAAGTTGGCAATTTAATGAAACTTTATCTTTCTTAAGAAGTACATGTGTATGTTTTTGCTTCCTTTTGGATATAATTCTTGCCACCTTTCTTGGTAGATATCAGAACTGTTTCAAAGAAAACAATATAGTTAACATTTTAAGGTTTATTACTTAGAAGTGTTTATTTCTTCACAGTATATCCAGTTTCAATTTTAGATTGTAGAAAAGTTTATTGTTATTTTGGAAAGAATAATCACAACCTTCTTTTTTTTTGGTTCCAAAATTCAAGAAATGTGTTTTTTAATGGTATTTTCATATTTGGAGTTGAGTATAAGCTCTAGAAATAGCCTTCAATTTATTGTTCTTATTTTTTCATATTTAGATTCTGAATTGAAGTCCCATTTTAAGGTTAATTTCCTCTACCCCAGCCTCCTCAAAGCAATTAATTGTTGCTAAAAATGTGAAAACAGTGTTACAAAGGCCTCTTGCCATTATGGAAATAACACAAAACAAAGGAGTCAAGAAGTCGAGACAATTACAGAGAAGCATGAAGAATTGTTTGGGAATGAAAAATAAGTTCACTGTAGTGATTATGATGGTTCTTTGGGTATATCCACTTGTTGTTTGATGTCCCCCAAGCTCATGTTGGAGCTTAATCCCCGATATAGTATTTGAAAGGCGCAGCCTTTAAGAGGTGATTAGATCATGATGGCTATGTGCTCATGAATGGATTAATTCATTTATGGATTATTGGGTTAATGGATAAGTGAGTTATCACAGGATGGGCATTAGGGGCTTTATAAGGAGAGGAAGAAGCACATTAGTGCAGTCTCAGCCTCTTGCCACGTGATATCCCGCACTACCATGGGACCCTATTGAGAGTCCCCCACCAAGAAAAAGACTCTCATCAGATGTGCCCTGGACCTTGGACTGCCTAGCCTCCAAATCTGGAAGAAATAAACCACTTTATAAATTACTCAGTTTCAGGTATTCTATTATAAGAAACAGAAAACTGAGTAATGCAATATATCAGAACTTATAAAATTGTACACTTTAAATATGTGCAGTTTATTGCATGTCAGTGTGCCTCAGTAAAGCCTGTTTTGTTTTGTTTTGTTTTAAAAAGGAAGTAGCATAGACCTAATTCAGGGATTACCACATCGTAAACCTGAGTGGGCCATTTCATCTTTTCTTCTCTTTATCAGGGATAAATCCTGGTTTGCCTTCAAATTATTAATGTTAGGATTAAATGATCTATACCCGAAAAACTGTTTCTTATAAAACATTATTTTTTTATACTTATTACATTTCCTTTTTAATTTTTACTTTTTCTATGTATTACTCCATTTTTGTATTGCTATAACAGCATACCTGAGATTGGGTAATTTATAAAGATAAGAGGTTTATTTGGCTCATGATTCTGGGGCAGCTGCAAATAGTGCAGTCCTCAGGCTGTATCTGATCATGGCAGACAGCTGGTAAGTGCGAGGAGACCACATGGCAAGAAGAAGCAAGGGAGGGAGGGAGAGAAGGATCCAGGCTCCTTTTAACCACCAGCTCTCACAGAAACTAATCCATTCCTGTGAGAGCTCACTCACCCCCTTCCCCCCACTCCCTCCACTCCCCAGTAACCTATGAGGGAACAAACACCTCCCAGCACTGCCACATTGGGGATCAAATTTCAACATAAGCTTTGGAGGGACAAACATATCCAAACTCTATCACTGTAGGTTACCTATTTGGTTGTAATTATGACTGAAAGATACCACTTGGAACATTTGCATTAATATTCACAGATACAACATGGCTTAAGTACCAAAACTGCAGGCTTAACAAATATGGGGTTACCGAACAATTTTGCTGAGAGAGTAGGAATTTATAGGTTTATAGACACAGCTTTGTAAAATGTCCTTGTGATATCTTTTAAAGTCATGATATTCCTACATGTTACAAAATAATTCTAATATGGTTATACTCTATAAAAGATGTGAATGTTAGATGATCACTGCTTAATATATTAATTTAATAATATAAATTGTATTTTTCTTGTTATATTTATTGACTTTTATATTTTAGATTGGTACATGGTTCGGTAAAACACAGATTACAGTGGGAGTGTCCACCTGAAAATCTTCCATTTGACCCTCTTCTTATTACTTTAGCTGAGGTAAAAATTCCATCTTCCTTTAATGTTTATGGAGAAAAAAATATTTTAAAATTTCATTAAATGTTACTTTGTAACTTGTTGGTAAATCTCGTTTTGCGCTTTTGAGATAAAAACCAAACAATAGGCATTACATTGCCTCATCCCCTTAGGAACTAATTATGACTGGTATATGTTTACTAAATATAGATTAATCAGTTTTACAAACATGAAATTAGTGTACATGGGGATTTGTAGATAAGTGGATGAAATATTCATACTTAATTGAAAAATAAAAATACATGGAATCGTAATGAGAAAGAAGATTCTTTTTTCTACTAATCAAATCAGGAGAACGTCAGGGAATAAAACTTAAACTATGGATAATGATAAGCCTTTGGTTGTTCTGTTCCTATACAACCAGTCCTAACATGATGTGTTTCTTTTTTTTTTTGTCTTTTGATGGGTGGCCAATACAGGGATCGAACCCTGGACTTTGATGTTATTGGCACCACATTCTAACCATCTGAGCCAACTGCCAGCCCAACATGATGTGTTTCTTAGGGAACTGATACTAACAACCTAAATGTCCTCTTGGAGAAATCTCCAGATTTGTACTCTACTTGTACATTTTTGGTAGAATATCATGGAGGTGATTTTTATAGAGGATTTTTAAAAAACTTTTCATAGGTTCCTTTATATTTAACATTTGCATCAGGAGAAAAGTTTGTATACTTCAAGTCAATCAGTGACATCTGTGAATTTTATTCATAGTTTATATTTAACATTTGCATCAGGAGAAAAGTTTGTATACTTCAAGTCAATCAGTGACATCTTCTGTGAATTTTATTCATAATATACTTCAAGTCAATCAGTGACATCTTCTGTGAATTTTATTCATAAAGTTAGAATGAGAAGTTGAGAAATGAATTAACCAGTTGTCTCATATTTAAACTGGTACTTGCCTTTTTTAAGAGTTAAGGATTATTTTATTGTTGTTGTTAAGAAACAAATGATTAAATTAGAGCTTTGAAATTAAACAGGCAATGCCATATTTATAGAATAAGTCACATAGTAGTATGCAATCTGAGTAAAAACATGGCAAAAAAGAACTAAGGTGCTTTTTTTTTTTTTTTTTTTTTTAAAAAAAAAGATGATCGGTAAGGGGATCTTAACCCTTGATTTGGTGTTGTCAGCACCACGCTCAGCCAGTGAGCGAACCGGCCATCCCTATGTGGGATCCAAACCCGGGGCCTTGGTGTTATCAGCACCGCACTCTCCCGAGTGAGCCACCGGGCCGGCCCAAAGGTGCTTTTTTTTTTAATAATTTAAATAACACTTGCCTTTCTAATAAAATCAGTGGGAAGGGCCAAGTGGGAGCAGAGGAGAAAAGAGTAGATAATTTTGCCGATTGAGATTTCTTAATTTTAATGAAACATCAAAATCTCTATCCTCCTATAGTTTTCCAAATGTGTTTAATCTAAGAGGTCTTACCAATTATTACTGAAGGCTGCCAAATTGTTTTAATAAGTCTTTGCTTTTCTTGATTTATAGCTCAGTTTGTAGAATTATTTTGGTATTACAGTAGTCCCCCATTATCTGAAAGGGATATGTTCCAAGACCCCAGTAAATGCCTGAAACCTCAGATAGTACCAAACCCTATGTATATTATGTTTTCCCATATGTACATACCTATGGTAAAGTTTAATTTATAAATTAGGCACAGTAAGAGATTAACAACTAACTAATAATAAAAAAGAGTAATTATGACAATACTCAGAAATTCATAATTTAAAATTTATGAATTGTTTATTTCTGGAATTTTCCATTTAATATTTTCAGACTACACTTGACCATGAGTAATGGAAACTGTGGAAAGTGAAACCTCAGATGGGGGGACTCCCGTATAAGCAGTGTGTTTTGTGGGTAGCCTGTTTTGAAATTTAGTCTGATTAAAACCTTTTAAACTTGGTATTAAAGATAAAAAAAAAAAATTAGTGATGTTTCCTTAATTCTTTTTTTTTTTTTTTTTGTCCTTTTTTTGAGACCGGCCGCACCGCGCTCAGCCAGTGAGCACTGTGAGCGCACTGGTCATCCCTATATAGGATCCGAACCCGCGGCGGGAGCGCTGTTGCGCTCCCAGCGCCGCACTCTCCCGAGTGTGCCACGGGCTCGGCCCTCCTTAATTCTTTTAAAAACTTTAAACCTTTTATATGAGTCCATGGTAGCAAACCATTTTTTAGACTAATCAATACTAATGATAACTTTGAAAGCATACTCTAGTGAATCACATTGTACTGGGAGTATTTTAATTTGGGGAATCTTTAAAGGGACTGTGACTTTAGACCACATAAAGTGAGTCCTTTCTTTACCTATTGTCCAAACACCAAAGCTTTTATTTCTGTATTGGGTAGATTTTTAGCCTTCTCCTCTACTCATTTCATAATGGGGAAATAGTGATAGAAGAACCACTCTTGAAAATCTATTTTGGCTTTTGACCTGAGATTCTTCATCTTTAAAATGAATAGGATGCAGGGTAATCCTAAGATGATAGAACCTGTGTCTCAAAATGATACTCATGTGCCTGGCAGCATAGTTTCAAAAGCATGAGAGCGTTGAGGAAAGAAAATGTTTGATCACTGATTGGAAGCACAGAGTTAAATGTAAAGTACAACTTAGTTGAAAATTAGTATTTCTAAACATGACTGTAGCTGGTTATCATTATGCACTTCACGTGATTAATCAAACAGAGGGAGTTTTGCTATTACTTTTTGTTTGTTTTGCTTTATTTTATCTTTTCGAAAAAAGTCAGATGGCCCTTCTTTCTTGACTAACAGTGATTGATTAAATCATAAAAGAATACTATCTATTGCTTTTAATGTATTTAAGGTGAAAGGAACAGAGAGAAATGAGCTACACAAGTTTTTCCATATTTTTATATTACATTCTAGAATTATAAATGACATTTAAAATCTTACAATGCTTTTTGCACATAGTACAAGATTTGCCTAAGTATCTTAATACAAAATATTTAAATATGAAAGAAATGTATTTTAGAAACTCATTAACAGGCTGTACAATCACTCTAAAAGTAGGAGTTCCAGTAGTTACACATTCATAAACCTACATTTTAGACTAATTTGCTGTGCTTTCAAGACATTGTTTGGGAGTACATTCTACAAGTTTGTAGTATCCTAGTGAGTTTTTCTTCTCTTTTTTTCTCTATTTTTATTTACCTTTCCTGTCCCTCCTTCCCTCCCCTGCTTTTTAATTCCTGCCTACTTTTTTCTTATTTCCTTTATTTTTCCTTGCCTCTCCTTTCCTTTTCCCTGTTCCTTTTATTTTTCATTTTCTTACTGTTCTTCTTTTTCTTTTGCCTTCCTTCCCTTCTATGGGCAGAGATTACTCCTGTCTCATGTATGTCCTTTGTTTCACAATTTCACAGTGTAATTGAAATTGTTATGGTTGAAATTATATATTGTGATTAAGAAACAATGTTCATCAAACCTTCGATTTTCACTTAGGCTAGTAAGGATTCAATTTTTCTGTTATGCATAACAAAAAGGGTAGTAAATCATATACAAATATATTATTTTTTTTCTTTGGCAGGGTCTGAGAGAGACTAAACATCCGTATACCTTTGTATCAAAGGAGGGTTTTAGAGAATTACTTTTGGTCAAAGGTGCTTTTGAAAAGGCCATGCCTTTGCTACCTAGACTGATTCCTGTGCTAAAGGCGGCTCTGGTATGTCGTTTATTTAATTGTACTTGCAGCTTAAAACATAAGGTAGAAAAGAAAGCTAGAATGTATTTAGAATATTTAGGTCTTTTTTTCCCTCCAAATTATATGCAAAGTAGTTCTTTACCTGTCATTTTGATGTATGTGCAGAATTAGGGCACTGTTATTCAGGGCCAGATGATTATGTACTTGAAGACACCTGTAGAGGATGTGCTAAAGGTACAAAGAAACATTCTGAGTAAGTAGGAGAAAGTAATGACCCTCAAATCAGTCCTTCTTTATGCTAGATATATTTTAGTTTATGTTTCAGTCAGCCCAAAAATTTGTTTTTTGTTTTTAGATAACCTGCTTTAAAGGGTATTTTTTAAATTCTGGGTTTTACTGATTATCTTCTAATTTTAAATGTTTAATCCTACTTTTTTTCCCACCTGTTTGCTCTTTTTTCTAACTCATCCTTCCTTTCCTTTTTTTTTCCTCCCCCTCATACACCCCTAACCAACCAACCCTACAGGTTCATTTGGATGATGAAGTATTTGAAAGAGGATTGAATGCTCTGGTACAGTTAAGTAGTATTGTTGGTCCTTCTCTAAATGACCATCTGAAACATCTGCTTACAAGTGTAAGTACTGCAAAAATTAGAGAGTGGTTGTGTATATGTATCATATACTGTCCTTATCTCTTCATGATATAATGGATTAAAATTAATCATTAAAATGACCCAAAGCCTTAAAAAAAAAAATCTTACTGTCCTAGCCAAAAATATAGAGATCCGACCTAGTGGTTCATAAAACATTTTACTGAGGACAGTATTCTCTTTATTTATTTATTATTTTTTAACAGAAAGTGCCTTTATAAGCAGAATTGTACAAAAAAGAAAGCAAAAGTTGAATGGATGAAAATTAGTGAACAGTATAATGGTATTATGCCCATGTTGACTAGCCATGAATTATAAGCAGTGTTCACACCCTCTTGTGTGATTACCAAAGCAGCCATGTTTTTCATCTTTTTTCTTTTTCTTTGTTTTTCATGGTGAGTTTTTTAGTGAGTCTGTAAATTGCATTCAAGATGAGATTTTTTTACTGATACATGTAGTTTAATCCTTATCACAAAATATATACTTGGGAACTATGTAGTTCAGGAGGACTCCAAGACCACCCTTAGGTTTAACGATTTGTTAGGAGGATTCATGGAACTCTGAAAAACTGTTATTCTCTTATAGTTTATTACAGCAAAAAGATACAGGTTAAAATCAGTAAAGGGAAGAGACGCATAGGGCTGAGTCCAGGAGAGACCAGGCATGGAGCTTCCAGTTATCCCCTCCCAGTGAAGTTGTGTGGACTGCACTTACTTCTTCCAGCAAGGATGTGTGACAACATGTGTGGAGTAGTGCCAACTAGAGAAGCTCACCTGAGCCTTGGTGTCCAGGGTTTTTATTGGGGTCTGTCATGCAATCATCACTGCCTGCCTACATGGTTGACATTAGTCTACAGCCTCTTCAGAAGTTGAACTGATGCCCTGTTTCCCAAGGCAGCCCCCAGGTTAACAAAGACTCTCCTATCTGGCAGGACATTCCAAGAGCTTAGATATTACTAGCTAGGAGCAGGGGCCAGACCTCTTTTTAGACAAGGTCAATCCTTTGCTGCACACTGATATAAAGATTAAAGTCCTGGCTGGGATCATCCACATCTAGGATCTCTCTCCCTGCATTCCTCCATAGTTGAGAGCTGATGCATGTATTTTGGTTATGTTTCCACTTTTTTTTCTTGGACCCATCCACCTGAGAGAGCCTAGAATTATATTTGTAACTTTCTACTTTTGCAGATAGTGTAGTTCTCCCCAGGAACCACCAGCATAAGCCAATAGAAAGTAGGGGTGGTGATGAATCTTTCACGGAATTATATTTGTAACTTTCTACTTTTGCAGATAGTGTAGTTCTCCCCAGGAACCACCAGCAAAAGCCTATAGAAAGTAGGGGTGGTGATGAATCTTTCACAATGCTGTGCCGAGGTTAGGAATGGTGGTAGATGAAATCCCACCAGGGGCTAGGGAGAAGACATAGTGAGAATAGACCTTGAACCTTGACATGTGGGAAGTCTCTGGACAGAAGAAAGAGAATTCTGGCAGATACTTGCTTATAGGCTTCAGGTCAGAGGGCTGTGGCTGACTAACTACAGGAATTCTGCACTAGTATATAAAATGACTCATTTTAGATTGATTTATTCAAACATTCAACAGTTTAACATAAACCTGTTGCACTCTGCCCTCCCATTTTGTGCCAGGTATTTTGCTAAGCACTGGGAGTATAATACTGAGCAGAAAGAAACGTGCTGTCAGCCCTTGTGGATTGGTTTTATTGAGGGAAAAAATAGGTAGCAAGGACATCTGCTGAGAGAGTTGGGAAGGAGTGAAGGAGAAGTGATACATAGAGAAAGAAATCACACTGGATCCTCCCCCAAACTCGAAGTCAAGCAAGGACCTGAACCTTTGCTTCCTAAACAGCCTCCCAGTCATGCCCACTATGGCAGAGAGAAAAGGCTAGATTAACAACTAACCTATATAAATTTATTTTGGTTTTTTACATTCTGGATCAGTGGCATTAACCTTTGGTCACTCATGTTCCTCTCCAGAGCTCTGCTTTTCTTAAGACAAGGACTGACTGAAAAGGCTTCTAACCAACATTCCTGGGCCGACAGCACTGTGGGGAGACCTAGTCACTGCACTGGCCTTCAGATCCCCACAGTGTTACATTGAGGAAAGAGTGCTGGAATTAGGCTGTGTGGGGGTTAGTTCCTGGTCTGTCGGTGATTCATCCTGAGACAAGCACCCTGAGGATGCCAGTGAGGTGCTGTGGGCTCCCGCCTTACTGCACTCTCCCTACCGCCAGCTTCTCAGCTGGAAAGCCTGTTTTCATCTGTTTATAGACATCTGCATTAGATGTTTGTTGGAAGAGAGGGTTTCTCTTCTAGAAAAAGAATTTCAAAACCAGTTACTAAGCCTATATTCAACTCATTTTTTCTTTTATGCAAAATAAATCATACCTTTTCTAAGCTTCAACTATACGAGACTGTCCATTGACCCTAGGAGAGTGATTCTCAAATTTTAAAGAGGGAATAAATCACCTGGAAATCTTGCTAAAAATGCAGAATCTGGGCCTCTGCCCTGAGATTCTGATTGAGTACATATGGGGTGGGACCCAGGAGTGTGCATTTTATAGTGAGTATCTCAGATGATTCTGATGCTGGTGGTTCATGAATCTGCCTATAAACCCTTGCTCTAGGGTAATGCATTCTGAAGAAAGCAAGTCCGAGGACTAAAGAGAAACTTTCTCTTGTCCTTTCCCAGGGCTTGATAGGTCTTATGAGTCTCCTTGCAAGTTGCGTCTCTCACATTTTTAAAAATCTTTCTGGGAATCTCTTCTGACTTTACCTAATTTTCAATGACTGGCCGAAGTGCCCTGCTCCTCAGTGCTCAGTGGTGTGAAGTACTCCTGCTGGGTTACTTTCGTACCTGGAAAGAGGAAGGACCAGAACCAGAAACCAGTCTTACATGACAGGGGCCTTACAAGTGTGTGATGAATGCACAATTCTTGCCTGGCTTCATTTGTATTTCTAGAAAGTGGACCCATGAGCAATACTGCTATTTCTTTCTTTGCTGTGATTCTATCCTCACTCACCTTGTGTTCTCTTGCTTTTCAAACAAAGTCCCGCCTTTCCAACTGAGGGCCATTCAGGACATATCTTAGAATAAGTGGTCTCATGGTTTCTAGTCTGATTGTTCTGTCACTGTTACTGAATTATTCATGTAAATAAATGGTTTATGGTCACTTACCTTTTTATTGTAGGAAAATATGTGTTTTAGAGGCTTAGCTTTTTATTGTAGTCCTCCAAAATGCCCTTGTAAATTGCAAAATGGAAAAGTATGCTATTTTTTAAGAAACTTACTCCAGATTTCATACTGTAGTAGATTTTTTAGGATTGGTATTACTTGAAATAATGTAAATTCATTGTTTTGTTTTTTGACATATACAGTGGTGTCTATTATATGTAAATTTCAGTGAGATGCTTGCTAAAAGAAGCCTTGAGATCTAAAACAAATAAAGGGGTGCTTGTGAAGTTTTACTTACGCTTATGGTGAACACTGTTACATTTTTAAGTCAATTCATTTTTCTCCCAATCTTACTTTAAAAGCTTTCCAAGAGACTAATGGACAAGAAATTCAAAGAGCCAATCACCAGCACATTACAAAAGCTAGAGCAGCATGGCGGAAGTGTGAGTAGAACATTATTCCTTAAGTCATGATTTTTTTTAACCTTTAGTCATATTGTAAAATTGAGTATATAGTTAACATTTATTATCTCATTTCAGCAGCAAGTAACCATGTGAAGTTGATATGATTTTCGTTTTAGATCTGAGTTTCTGTCTTGCCTAGTTTTAAGCCCTGGGACTCAGGTTATACAACCTGTACACTTTCACTGTACTTACTGTATGGCAGTGTATGTGGTGTGGCTTTACAGCTTTTTTCATTAAAGTATTTTAGATGTTTTTGTTCTGACCATTGGAAAGTTAAGAAAACAAAAAGATTAACTTAGAGAGCTCGATGAAGAAAGTTACTTTTCTCTTTCATTTGCTGTCTTTTCTATCTCCCTAATTTGGAATCTACCCATACATAATCAAAGGTTGAAATGACACTTCCAGGTGACTGCACTATTATATCTGTAAGTGTATGCAAACTCACACCCTTTCCCAAGAATAGTTAGTTGGTTATTCTGACTCTTCAAGGTGAAAGAATAGGGGATTTCATTACTATATGGTGTCAAAGAACTAGGTTAGTTGAATTTTCATCATTGGAAGAAGTGTTCAGATAATCTAGTCTTAGAAATGTATTGATAAAGCAGTCTTGCTTTGGAGATTATATTTAATCAGATCTTAATGACAGCTGGATGTGATCTTAACATTGCAGAACTCAGTTTCATTCTAGGTACTTTCTAAAGGAATTACTCATAAATAAATTGATCATATAGTTATAAAATGGTAGATATTTTAGTTTATGCTTTGGCTAGATGACCTAATTTGACCAATTTCAGTGACTTTTTAAATTGGTTATATTCATTCTGTGATGAATGCCTGAAACAAAGTTTATGAAGAGGAAGTAAGTCCCCAAACCTACTAGGTAGTGAATTGCTTTGTTGTGTTTTAGATCCTAAGTAGAGGATTAGTGTTCCAACACCTTGTGGCAATATTCAAAACCATCCCCTAGGCAATCCATTGTTCCCTCTCAGCAGTACAGATTTTTTTTTTGATTGCAAATGTGCTTGCTGTTCTGAGAATTTGAATGCAAAATGTATTTGCTCTTTCCTCCCCTGTGAAATGCAAGTAAACAGATGCTAAATAATGATGGCACAGCTTTTTAATCTGAAACCTTCTAGGTGAGTTTCCATATCCTGTGGACTGGTATGGGGAATGGTACAAGTAGAAAGGGACAGGGCCAGCATGTTATAGTTCATGGTTATGTGGGGGAGATAGTTGCATGTAAATAAAGCTTAGAAACAGCACATTAAGGTTTGGAGGGGCAAGAGAGGTTGTAGTTGACCAATTCAGGGTCTCAGAGATAGTGAGTTCCTCTTTTATTGTCATCTCACTAGCTTTGAATGTTGCTAATGCAGAATTTGAAAAAGATTTTGTAGTTCCAAGGGCTATTAAGTACTTTTTATTTTCTTCTGACTTCTATTTGTGTTCCCTTCTTCTGGGTCCTACATAATATTTTGATAATAATTGATGTAATTGCAATAGAAAATTTTCTTTGAAATTACATGTCAAAGCCGTCCTTGGTTTAATTATTATTGTGCTTGTTTTTGGTACTTCTTTCTCTTCTAAGAATGTAAAAGCTTATATATCTTTCTCTTTCTTTAAATGTTAGAAATCAGCCTTCAAAGAATATTCTTCTCAGTATTGTAGATTCACATTTCTTAGGGCTTATGTATATCACAATGATGGAAAGACTCAACTTCTGGGGAAACAAAATATTTGTTACAGTCAGTGTCACTTTCTTATAACTGATCTTTTTACTACCTGCCTTAAATTGAAATTGGTTCATTTCTAGCCTGATTTAATTTTCTTTCTAACCGATATGTGCACTTTATTTGGAAAGACACATATACACTCCCAGCCTTTATTACATGGCTGGTACTCTGATGACTCCTTTTTAGACATTAATCTTCATTACCTAAAATTTTAATTTAACCTTCACAATAACACTCAGAGGTAAATATTGTTGTTATTCTCCTTTAAAAGATCAAGAGAATGAGGGGCAGGGAAGTAATTAGCCCAGGTTTGACAATGAAGTAACTGGTAGAAGCTGAATTCAAATACTGGTAGTCTGGCTCCTAATTACTTCTCTAGTTAGATACTTTAAAAAATAAGAAGAAGAAGCAAACTGTATTTTATGTAACTCAGAAAGGAAGTTCCACTTCTCATTCCATCATTTTGTTCTCACCCCTTTTTGTTTGCTTCTGTTTTGAGTTTCGGACATGTTTTAGCCATACTTCTGCAAATGTAATAATACCTGTTAGGAGAACTCTGCATGGTACTAATGATGCTATGTTTTTTTCTGTTGACAGGCAAGCCTTATCATCATCAAATCCAAAATTCCAACATATTGCTCCATAGGCTGTTGAATAAGGGAGCCAAGAAAAATCATCTTGCTACCTGAGACATGTCAAACGCCGACCACAAGTACCCCTGGAACCTTTATTCAGTTTGGTTTATACTTTTCTAAACCACAGTCACCATTTGTTATTTACTAGGTTAAGATGAGTATTCACAATCCCATGGAATCATAGTGAAAGTTATTCATTAACTAAGAAGAATGGTTAATAATGAAATGCTATTAAAAGAAGTTCTATACTAGAACAATTTTGTAGGGTTTATCTTTCATATTTTTATTATATGCGTGAAGAACTGTTATTGAGTTTACAAGATCAGATGTTTTTGTATTTTCTAGTGCCTTTTTATTTATAACACCATTTTTTGCAATTAATTTGTAGCTGTGCACTTATTTTTGTAGGTATTTTGCTATTTCTTGGGTTTTATCATTATCAAGGCTGTATGTAGAATTTAAAATAGTGGACAAACATTTGTGAATTCATAATTATTGTTTGTAAAAATGTATTTTATAATGTAGAATGCTTGGAAAATTTTCTTTCCAGAGTATTCTAGTTTAAGTAATTTTTTTAACTGTGAAAATTTTATTGCAAGTATGTTGTTTTTTACAACTCAGTAAAACTACCTAAATTTTAGGTGTTAATTATATTTAAGTAAATATTTTTCATTTCATAGCCTGAAAAAACTGATGTACACATAAAGATATTCAGAAATTACAATCTTAAAACTCATGTATATTCAGTGATTTTGTTGTGCTTGCTTATGCTTAACAATTAACTTGGCTTTTTAAAAAAAGCTTTCAAAGGGCCAGCCTGGTGGCTCACTGGAGAGTGCGCCACTTGGGAGCGTGGCGGCGCTCCTGCCGAGGGTTCGGATCCCATG